TCACCTGGATTTTCTGTGCTCTGACTTTCTTTCCTACATAAGCATACAAACTCTGGCAAAAAAGCACAGACAGATATGCTTTCACAGCCAAAGAAGCACTGCTAGCCTTGCCTTCGCAGGGGGCACAGCCAGCCACCATGAGAGCACCAATAATCCATCCAATGCAAAATAAAGGTAGTACACAAATCATGTTTGTGGACACAGCCCACCTTCCAGGTGCCAAGGGAACCTGTTTTCCCTTGAACTGAAAAGACTAAGAGCCCTCACTTATCTGAAGGCCCCCCATGTGAGGGCAGCGAGGGCTCGATATATGTAACTCAGTCCTCAAGAGAACTTCTGTGCGCAGATACGCATGGTAAAACTGTGGCATCGTTATGGTTGGTAGGCTTTCTATCATTGACCTCTCTGGAGCTAAGAGTTCATCCTCAGTCATCGCCATCTACTAATTTTCAAATGCTGTAGTTTGTCATTAGTGTAGACTGAATTACTAGTCACTGCACTTACACTATTGCCTTCCTAGAACTTTAGTTTGTGGAAGGCAAAGACAGTATTCTGGCTTTGGGGTTGTTTTTCTTAACATTACGTTTTGTTAAAGTATTACAATGCTCAGTTAAAGTTGAGTCTGATATAATCAACATAAGACAATGCAAAAAGTGAATGTCAGGGTTCCTATGTGACTACTTCAGCAGTGCATATAACTTAACTTGCTGAAGTTCGAGCTGGTAATGAGCTTTCCCTGAATGTGGCTTGCAGATGTTGGGACTACAAGCTAGAAGTGGCATTCTGCTATCTGGGAACCTATGAATTATCAGTGTTTCTATGAACAAGGTAATAATATATACCAAGGTGCAAAAAGCTGAGTGAGAATTTTGTTGGAGAAATTTCATCAGAAACTATATTTTAAATCTGGTTCATGTTCAGGCTTTTATAATATTCTCCTTAGTACATGGCTATATGTGTGCACATATGTAGCAGCTGTCACTCATGAGAAAATGTTGGCAAACTCATGAGTTTGGTATTCATGGGCTGAAGCTTCACCAGGAACCAGAAGCCCAATAACAGCTTTACTTTGGGAGCTGCAGGGAGAATAAGAGAGGTTGTTAGTACTGCTGTCATCCTGCTCCTTATGATGAAGCGGAAACTAACTGTGCAAGTTTTCATTTCTCCATGTCGTGTTACTTCCGGAAGGCAGAAATATTCCCACTCTGCTTTTGAAACCCTCCATTTTCAGTAGTACCTGCCCAGTCCCCCAGAGCAACCCTGCAGCACCCCCATGGAGTGGTCCCATTGCTTGGAGCAGCTCGGAACAAGACAGGGCTTTGGTTTGGACCCTGAGCAACGGCTCTCGATCTATGTCCGTGGGGAGAAGACAAACCCACAGATCATTTTCAGGCTTTCAGAGCTGTGAATGATTATATATCTTCTAATGCAATCGTGTTTGTGTAAATAAATATTAATACACACTTAATGACTACTAATGCAAACCTTTATATAAATGGGAACAAAAGCTAATAGGAACTCTGCCTACCAAAAGGGACTTCCTTAGCACAGAATTGCTACTTTAATTCCCTCATGAAGAAAGGGAATTCAAATATTCTTTCATGACCATCACCAGTGGCTTTAGTGCTCCTTAAGACTTGATTTAATAGACATATAGGGCACAACGCTAATAAATTCACTACCTATTTTCCTCCCAGGACTTTATCATTTGTTCATCAAGTCCCCGATCTAAATCAGTGTTCTTTGAAGAAAGAATTTCAAAGTCACAAAGAAGCAGAATATTCTGTTGGCAAATGGCTTCTAAGCAACCTGATAAAGTGATGCTCCTTTCCTGGGACAACCAATGTAAACATGTTAAAAATGGGAAAGGGCTTCAAGTAATGGTGAAGCAGAGCACTACCCCAGGGACACTGTTTCCCAGCCTGCGATACTTGAAATGGCTAAAGAGGAGGAAGTGAGGGATGTATTTTATATGTGTATATATATATACATGTATATATATTTATATGCATAAATGTACTTATATCTATTAAAATGTATAAATGTGTGCGAGACTGTATATGTGTATATATACACACACACCCCTATATGCATGTGTATTTGTACATGCATGTGATTCAGCAAAGTATGAAGAGCCCAAATCATAAATCTAGAAACACGCCTTTTAGCTGGATCTAAAATCCTGTTAAGTCAGTGCGGAGCCTTCCCTAACATCAGCGAGCTGATAACTGGAGCCTTAATGTGTGCATTATCATCACTCCTGGCTTCTTTACTTCTGTCCCCTCTTCCCTCATATCTACTCAGGCCCATCACTTGCTGTGCTATGTGAGACCTAGATCAAAGAGAAAAGGGCGTCTGTCTTCTTTTGTGGAGGCACTGGGGGCATTTCTGGCTCCTCAAAGAAAAACAAACAAAAGTGACTCTTGTAAAAGAAATACTTTCTCCCCCTTTCCAATTTCTTTTCATGTTCTGTATGATCATTCATAAAAGCAGAAGCCATTTGCGAGTAGTTTGCACTCCCTGGTCAGTATAATATCTGCTCAGCCTCTCACCAGCTAAAGCTGCAAATACCTGCCACAGAATCAGAAGATGCTTTTTTTTTTTTTTCACGCTTGGCCTATCTTCTTTAAAACAATACTTCCTATCTTTTCTCCTTTATCCACATCTCCAGAAAGCTCTAGGGTCCACTCAGTATATCAGCAGCTGCTTAAGATGTGTGCAGGCGGCTGCAGCGCGTGCAGAGCAGAGATGGGTAAAATTCCTATGGAGACAGACGGGTTTACAGCTCCCCGGCATGCAGCTTATTCCCACCCAAATGTTATTACAGCGGCACTTGAAAGCCTGGGCAGGAGAAGTGGGCCACTGCGAGAGACCCTGTAGCTGTGCGCAGTAGAAACGTGTCCGGTCCAGGCCTTGAGTTCCAGACAGAGAAAAGGATGGGAGCAAGGGAAGGTAGGAAAGAAATATAAGTATTTCCGCTCTGCAGTAAAGGAATTGGTACTGCAGACTGTAAAAGACAGAAGAGAAAGTCTGTGAAAGCCTCAGGAATTAAATCTAAATAAAGCGCTGCATTTGAGCAAAGTCAAGCACTATCACCGGTTTTTTCCCCAACAGCGGTGATGGTGGCAAAGAGTAACATGGGGACTCTGCACTTCTGTGGTTCCCTGCTCTCTTAGTGTAGTTTTAATACTATATTGCAAATACCAAAATGAGTCTTTCTTCCCTACTTGTAATTTTGCATGACAACTTGGGACATGCTCCCATGCGTTCAGTTAGTAAAACTACAGAGTATCTGCTACTGTACAGATGCGGTCTGTGTGGATGCTCTTAATTTGCCATCACGTACTGTGTTCAGATCTTCCATTTTCTGCAAGATATCACAGAGTAAGATCACACATGTAGGCAACTGCTGAAGAAAAGCTGAGGTGTTGTAATGTCACATCCTACCTTAACTGTCGGAATCTGGTTGCTCTTAAGTTTATAGTGCAGTATCACAAGGGGAAAAAAAACATCTGCCAAACTCTCATTTGCTAATAGTGGTTAATGTCCCCGAGTCTTTCAGCATTGGTGCTGTGCAAAATTTTGTCTTCTTAGAGCAGATTTGTGTTTCAGAATATAGATTTCCCCAGATATATGAAGCATTCCTCTTCCCAAATTGAATCTTATTCTGTACCACAGAGGCTATATTGCCTTTTTAAGGACACAAAGCCAATCTGTGAAAAACATGGGAACAGAAACCAGATCTCCTGGCTGTCAGCCCTGGGTTGAATCACTAGACCACACTTCTTCCCAACTGCATTGTTATCTAGCTGTATTTGGGGTGGCAGGAACCACTGTGTGTGCAATGGCAGATCTTTTTTGGGAAATTATGGGGAAGGGAAAAAATTGGAGGAAATGAACCGCCCAATGTCTACAAGCTTCAAATAGGTTATTCCTCAGCACGTGATCAGCGATTAGCCACTGGGGAAAGAAACCTTGATGGAGCAGTGTAAAAGCCATTTGCTGCCTGAAAACACTACTGAAAAGATTTTTGTTCTACCTGTGTTTTCAAGCTCTTTCAGCTGCAAAATAATTTCTGTAGCCTATTTTCCTCTCCCTTCACTGACCTATAAATATGAAAAGAGGTATACTCTACAGTAATTGTATAGTTTTTCATTTTGCTCTAAAGGGTCACATTTTTAGTCACAGATATATCATGCATGCCTAACGTGGTATTGCAGAATATGGGAGCAGTTCCTCATTTGCTTGCCTACCAAGCTGCTTTGTAGGTACAAATGTGCCAAGAATATAGAAAGTCTCACTTGAAAATCGTTTAGCAAATTGCAATGGCAGAAGTCTCTGAGTGGAACTCAAATGATACCCTTGATAATGACGTCATAAATGAGGTATTTTTCTTTTTTTTTCCCCTTCTTTGTAGATGGATAGATAGAGTAAGTATAGTAGTATAATAAGAAATCCAGATGACTGATATTAAAATTACATCAAATTTTATGTTGTTAGTAGTAGGATAAAAGCTGCCCTACAGTAAAGGGGGGGAAGAGTTGAAGCCCTCAAGCTTTCATCCTTCCAGCCTTTTGGGGAAGCAGCAGGGGGGCCCCCAATGCTTTCTGGATTACCTGCATGTTTGGGGAACCACAGGGTTTGCTAGGAGGGAGGGAGGGAACTGGAGGTCTGGCTGAGACTGAACATATCCTGAAGAAGGATGCATCTCACCGAGTTCCTTAAACGGGTTTAGAGCTCCGTTTGCTTTGGTGGAAAGTCAGGCTGCGTTCTCCTAATAAACAGCTCAGCTCAAAGCAAAGAGATCTGAAACGCTGTTCATAGCTGGTGCCCAGTACAGTGCAAAGAAACAGCGGGAGCATGTGCTGCCTAAGTGATCTCTTGGAGAAGAAACATCTCTCAAGAGGTCATCTGCAGCACCAAACATCTAGGCATTGATCCTGAGAGAGATTTTTAGGCAGTACTATTAGCTTAACAGCACAGATACTAGCTTTTCTTACCATTGTATCAGTATATTCTTCCAGCTTTACCTCAGCAACCATCTTGTTATGCTGCAAGAAGAGATCTCGCAGGAAATCCTATAGTGAGGAAAGATTCCGATTTTACTCTTTAGAGTAAATTTGAGAAATAACAGCAAGAAATCAGATCCAAACTCCGCAGGGTTGTATGGATCTAATTTCACATTCCTGGTGAGTACTATTATCTTCAATTTCATATAAAGTTCACTTTTTCTCACGTGAAACATGTTTTTTTCCAAATAAATTATGAAGTAACCAAATTTCCCCCAGAGTGGACATACTGGAATAAGCCACAATAGAATAAATCCCACAGAATGCTTAAAAGAAAAGATTAGTCCCGCAGTATTTGCTAACTGATTTTAAACCAAGATAGTCTCCATTCTGCAAAACCCTGCAGCATCTGCTCAGTCTCTGCTAGGGCCCGTGCTGAAACTACACCCTGCGACTTCAGCGCCTGGGTCTGCAGCCTAGGAGTGGCCTGGCTGCCTTGAGGCATTGGAGCTGCCTTCTCTGAGCAGGGCTCTGCCTCAGTGGCCCTCGTTTGCAAATAAAACAAGTTTTGAGGAAGCTCTGAAAATTCACAGGCTCGGGAAGAGGTTGTGAAGAAATACAGTTAATGAAACAGGACTGCTTTGGCTCTGCTCAGCAGGGATGGGAGAAGCGCGTGTGCATCGCCCAGGAGCGAGAGGGACAGCAGGCAAGACTGCAGGGCCCCCAGGCATTGCATCCTCCACTGAGCAACATAGAAATGCCATTTATCAGCCACACAAAAAAGCAGCAGGTTGCTAAAACCAGTGGAAAGGCTCCCATTGGCATCAGCATGCAGCAGACCAAGCCCAAAGAGACTTGTTCGGATAACTTACTTTGAGCTCACCAGCTGAAATAAATCCACTGCTATCAGCGTCATAACTGCGCCAGATCTGAACAGGATAAATTGATATGACCACATAAATATTGTAGGCAATCATCTAACACATTGATAGATCATATTAAAGCTCTAAAGCAGAACTTCCATAATGAGCATGCTGTTGTAGCACCCAATACTTAATTAATTACAGACACAATAAACTTTCCACACAACAGCTTTTTACTCTCATTTAGATGTTGTACATATGTCATGCTGCAATCACTTATTTAACGCAGACACCCTTTCTGTAAAAGGAAGAAAGTAATGAGAAACTGCCCCACATATCTTACCTAATTTGTACGTGCAGCTACTCAACATAGGAATTTTCCAGAGTAAAAGTCAAGTCAGCACACAACTTGCCATTCATCTTCACAGCCCCCGACAATGGATGTGAAATAAAAGTAATTGCAAGCAGTCTTTGAAAAATCAAAATTGTGAATTTAAAGAATTTACAGGGAAAAAAGGAGCTTGTATTTAACAGCAGTTCTTGTGCCTGTTCTGCCAAAGACAAGTCTCTCAGCAAGTCTCTCAGTCTCTCAAATCTGCTCAGAAGCAGATTTACCTGATAGACCGGGGCGGGCATTTCTGTGCCCTCACTACAACCATTATGGTAGTAAAGACTGAACAAGCAGATATTTGGTGTCTGGGCAGGCAAACTTTGGCGACAGCGCTGAGCTGGAGTTTGCATACCTCCAAGCAATGATAACAACAGAGGGAGCAGATTGCTGAAACTGCTGGCAAATCAGTGTGTTGGGGCAACAGGGGAGTCTCTAGATCGAAGGGAAACCCCTGGCTGGCAGCATCTCCCCCACTGCATTTGTGCAGGGAAACTGGGGGACAGTGAGCAGCAGGGGATGGGGCATGACCAAGGAAACCCTATTTCCCCTTTGGTCTCTGCTGGAGTGTGGGTGAGGACCTGCAGCTTTGGCTGTAGCTGATGACAGGGCTGGATTAATCAGAGGGTACTGCAGTAACCTTTCATCTCTGGAGGCAGGGCTAACCGGGGGTTGAGGGTGTTTGCAAAATTTAGTGAACTCACCGTGTGTCCCTAGTCTAGTCCTCGCTACCACCTCTTTGCTTTGCTAGTGAAAATAGAGTTAAACATTCTCTATCTCCACAGCTCAGAAAATGTTTTTCTTCCACAATAACCATATATTTTCCATGCTACAGTCTGCAAATGCTTGAAGTGTCTATATGGAAACAGTAGCTGGTGTGCAAGGGGAAGCAGCAATGCAGAGATACACACCCGCATAAATTCCAGGCAAGATCATATTGGCAAGCTAAAAAAGACCAACCAGGGAAAGTAAAGATAAGAAAAAAATGTGAAGACTGGTGAGCTGATACAGGAAATAAAAGCTGGGCATGTTGTTGTCATGGAAACAAAAGCCAAACCAAGAGACCTGGCTAATGTAGTGCTCCACAGCTACCTCCTCCCCACCCAGGCTCTGTCTCCCCTGTCTCCCAAGTCTGCTCCAGCTCCCGATTCTCCCACCTCCCATAAAAGAAATACTGGGGTGGGGGCTGAGGGAGATATACCTCTTGGATTTGTAGGCGTCCGTCTGCAGTGACATCGTAGGTGGACATGAATTGCTCCTTCATCCTTTGAACCTTTTCTTCTGTGATGGCGGTCTGCCACGGGGGAAATGACACACACGTGAAAATGCTGAGGGCGCTGAACAGTCTCCTGGAGGAAATCTCCCCTCACTTACAGATAACCCTCAGAAGCATTGCATACGTTATAGTCGGTGGCTAATGCTTCTGAAAGCCCATAAACATGACAACTGGGGTAAGTTTTTGGAAATAAGTGCCATATGTAGCTTTGTAGCAACTAAACTTTCAAATGGAAAACCAGGGTTTGGAGACCCGAAACTCTTTCAGAGACACCTGCTTCTTGAGCCAACTGTTTCCCCTGTACCACTGGGATTTGGTTTCCATTATGGTGTATTACAACAGTTCTCACAATGCTCATTTTCATCTTATCTTATTCAGGAAGATGTCCTTATCCTTGAACTACATCTCTGTAACCCATTAGCTCACGTGCCTTGAAGGCAGCAGCAGAGCTAGATTGTTGCTTGTTATTACCAGTTGACCAGTTCCAGACCTAGCAAGGCTTTGGCACCAAGCCCTGTGCGGGTTTCTGGGTCAATGACATGGAATTTCAAACAATTCACACTCCCTTTGCATCTGTTCAACCCCATTATCAAATTTTATAGAGAGAGGAGTTTTCAGGGTTTATCAGTTTAAAGGTTTTGGCAGGCATTACTGTGACAAGTGAAGTACTATGTTTAGTTTAGTCAGGCATGATTTCTGTTTAGCAGTAACCTCTGGTTTGCCTGCGCTGTACATGTGATTTCCCCAACTTGAGGAAAGTCTTCTGGTCAGAGAAGCTTCACAGATGAGCTGGGAAGCTCACCTAGATAATCTCTGTAAAGTTCTGTGAAGATGAGAACAGCCTGGGATTACTATTAAATTAATTCCAGAGCTCTTTGTTCATCATTTTCAGGTTGGGTCAGAGTGTTGAAGAAGTTTATTTGGCCATGGTATGAAATTAATTCCTGTGCATTATCATTTTATAGAAATTCTTTTTGGCTATTATTGAGTTTCAGACTATCTTTCCTTGCTACTAATGTGCTTCTGCTTGCGATCTGTGTTCTGGTTTGTTTTTTCCTTTCAAGAAGCTGTAATGACATCTGAAGATACCCTCTGTACCTACAATGGCCAGGACCTGGCTCCATCTCACAGTCTCGTGAAAGGTAGTCCTCTGTGAACAGAGGGAGGGTAGAAGGTAACTCAGAACTGTTCTCTATGTGCTTTTTGTAGTACTTCTACAAGAGAAAAAGTTAAGCCCTCCAAAGATTTTATCATCTCCACCTGAGATGGGTTTAGGAATACTGGTCTAGCAGTGCCTTCCCGGGTCTTCTAACCCAGTTTTTCCTCCCTTCATCTACTATTGCAGGCCATGAGGTTGTGCAGTCCTTTTCTTAATACTGTGACACAAAGCAATAAGTGACTTTCTTGAATTCACATAATGCACAGATCAACGCAGCCTCCTTGGCTGTTCAGAGGATAAATAAATATAAATCTTGTACCAGGAAAAAGACACTCTCTATGGCCCTGCATATCTACAGTGAGCGATGGGTATGCGTGTTCTGCTGCCCAGATCTAGCATGAACAGGCCTCAGATTTTTCACTGCCTTTGTGTGCTCCTTTAGGCCCTGATTCTGCAAAGCATGAACTGGAGCAGCAATTATGTAGATTTGCAAAAAGTTGCACAGGATAGGAGAAAAATCTTTCTGTACAGAGACAATCTTTCTTATCTTACTGTGCTAAGAAGTTTGTCACCTCTTCGCACAGTAAGAAGGCTGGGCTGCACGCACACAGCAACTGCAACAAATGTTCTCGCCTCACTTGAGATGGGAATTTTAAATCATCACACAGAAAACTGAACATGACTCCCACCTTAAAGCTTTTCTGGTCCTAGGCATACTCAATAGTAGCCAAATGACGAAACTAATTTCCAGCTGCTATTAAACGGGGCTGTTGCAGAGCTTTTGCTCTGGAAGGGCTGCCATGGCCAGCGATGGAGTTGCAGAGAAACACTAGGATGTCACAGATGAGGTAATCAAAAACAACAACAACAACGAGCTGTAAAATAAAGCTTCTGGTTTAAAAATGGGCTACGCTCATTAAACTAAGGCCCATCTCTGCTCCCCCTTTGTCACCAACCTTAGATGTGACTGATATTCTCCAAAAAGGCCTTAATTTTCTGCTGATGATAATAGAAGATATCTATAGGTGGATGGATAGACAGATAGTATGGCTGATCATTTCTGATATGACCCCACTGGGCTGCACAGTGGCACTCACCTGCAACTGTGGGGCCCCTGAGGATGAGAGACAGCCGTGGGAGGGAGCCTGCTCCTGGCTTGCAGGCATGACCCTCACAGCGAGCAGCACAGCCCTGGGCACCTCATGGTAATTCATTAAATTCGGGCGAGTGGGGCGGAGGGAGGGTGGGATGGAGGAGGAGCGCCGCCGTTAAACAAGCACGTACGGTTTTCTTTCACCTCCGCTTTATAACTCTTCCCTGTGCTATTTTAATTGCCTTCTGCCTTCACCTTGAAGCTGTGAGACACTTCCCAGGCATTAGGCAAGCCCACCGGTTGCTCACTTCAATAGGCTTGCGGAGTACTCTGGAATTATCCTCCTCCATGCCCAGTAGGGTAAGTTATTTCCGAAACTATAATCATAGCTGATATCTGAAAAATGCACTGTGGAATTCAGACGAGTCATTTGTTAAGAAAGCTTATTGCTCAACTTTGTGTCAGCTTTTAACAACTCCTTCATTGAATTTTGGGTGGCAGGAACATTGTTATCTACATAAAAATAGGACTATCCTTTTTGTTTTCAACTGGCTCAGACTATGAGATGCATCAAGTAAATACCCAAAGTGTGGAACCTCCAAGAGGTTTTAGTCCAAGAGATTGCACGCTAGTGGATTTTTCAGACTGGCCAGTCTATCACTGTGCGTAAATAGTCTGTTTATGGAATACAAAAGGTAACTGCATCTGCTAAAAACAGACTTCTACTTCCAAAGACTAAAAGCAAAGTAAAAGATACTGCACAAACAGGCTTTTCCACGATAAGCACTCAGGGTAGATTGTTTTTATATTACGAATTTTTACATTACCTATGATACAGCTTCTCATTTTAGGGCTGCTTGGTTTCAAAGGTGAACTGTACATTTACAAAAAAACAAACCGGCGAATGAAGAAAAGAAAACCCCAGCCCCCAGGTAAGCCATGCTTCGTGTGGCAAAAGGCTGGAGCTGCCTTCCCTCCCTTGAAGGAACGGAGGCCGATTCTCCAGCTTGTTTAGATTTTGTCTGCTTACGGTTCTCTCTCCGCATCGGGGCCGCGCTGCGGCCGCAGGGAGGCAGCGATCCCGGGAGCCTCGTGAATGGCTCCCCGGGGGCTTCACGCCTGGAGAAGGGCATGTTTCAGAAACATGGAGAGAAAAGCATTTACAAGACACTGTCCGCTTATTATTCTCGGACTTATAGAACTGAGATCAGATTTTACTAGTGAAAATGGTGGCACTGTCATTATCTGTACCAATGTAGTGTCTTAGGGACCCTGACCAGGAGCCGAGACCCCAACTGGGACTCAGAGCCCCTCAGGGACAGAGACAGACAGCAGGTAAAGCCAGTCAGAAGGAAAATAGAGAGGCAACGTGGGGACTAATATCAATAATTTCACGCTTTAAAAACCTTGTAGGTATAGCAACTAATTACTGTCACGTAAGTGTCTTAAGCAGATTGTTTTTCCAACAGTGTCGGCGGTTTGTACAGACAAGTTGCAGATATTCCTAAAAGGGAGAAAATAACTTACACTAAGGGAAGAAAGCAGGGACGTAGGAGAGCAGGAAGGAGAGCCCGCCAGACAGGCGTGCACAGGAATATATGACATTTACACAGAAAAGCACGTGCTGCTCGGAGCGTTGTGGCCACCGGCCTCCCTGGAAAGTTGTTTTTTTCCTTCCTTATGCTGTAATTAACTCACTTTTCAACTAAAGGTTGAGGCAAGCGGGAAAGACTAAGCCAAACACGCTCTACTTTCAAACGCCTCAGGCTTACGCACCATTTGTTCAAGTCCTGTGATTTCTAGGGGGAGCAGTAAAAAATACAGTAGTGAGGATACTCTGCAAAGCAACCACATCAACAGCATGATACAAATTCGTGCCGATTGTCTCTGCAAGCTGGGAAAGTGGCAAATGGTACAGCAGAGAGTGAAGAGCTGCAGCTAAATACAGCCAGTTTCGTAAGAGCTGGTGCTGCTTCACTGCACGTTGTCTGGAGTAAAACCACGAGCCAGGGCTGCGCGAGCGTGTCCATTTTAAACCACAACCCCCTGTTTCAAAAGTTTGCAAAACTTTCTGAAGTGCTCACTGTTTAGGCTAAAATTTAGCACACCTGATACCTGCTCAGTGAAAATTTTCCTCTCGTGCAAGTTTAAGCTCGTGCTGTTGCCTCCTTTCTCGCAGTTGTCTGTACGGGGAGCCCTTTCACAGCAAGCAGGCCGTCAGTTCTCATTTTCCCTGCTGCCTGCACGTCTGTGAGTTTCTGAGGGAGAATTGTATCAAGTGGTAATAGCCGTAATTGACAGAGGAGCACAATTTCCCCTTAATTACTTAATTACTCCTTAAGGCAGACACAACTATAGAGATGCTCATGTTCAGCATCAACCAACACGGTGTAATGAAGAGGACTTTCCCATAACAGGCAGGAAAACGTACCTGAACTAAGACCTGCTTCCAGTTTTACTAAGATTTGGGCTGAGGAAGAGCATGGCTGTTGGGAAAGCAACGCCATTTTAGGTTTCTTCATGTGAATTATGAAACTTAGCTGCCCTGGTCCTCATAGGCTGGATGGCACATGGTTGTTGCCCATTCTCACTGTCCAGCCAAGGAAGAAATCCTTGCTACACGCAGTGAGGAGGAGGCCACATCATTTTTATTTTTCCACATAAATATAGCACAAACAGCATGTAAAATATTGCTGTGACTTTGCTTCTATACATTACAGGGTTAAGAAGAAATTTTCTTACTGTGGATGTTCTTCCGCACAGTTT